GCCATTGCAGTAAGAAAAAACAGTTATTTATTTTTAAATAATAAACAATTGAAAACAAATCATTTTTTTAACATTAAAATTAAAAGTTTCATTCAAAAAATAAGAATACAAAATTATTGTAGATAATTGTTAAGTATAAAAATACTGAAGAAAACTATGAAAGCTCGTAAAAATCTTAATGGAAATATGGTGAAAAATTAGGCGTCAAATTCATTTAAAGAATTACGAATTTATCAGAAAACAAGAGCTACGTATGTATGTACTAATGGAACCAACAAGAATGTTTCTACTGCAGGGATACAAGAATGCAATAATTGCCCTTCCATTATAAATATGTCTTTTATAATCTGTTTTACGAGACATTTTAATTTCGTGTATTTATTTTTAATTTCGAAGAATCAAATGAATTAACTATTGAAAGTCACGACAACTCCTGCGTCCGAATCCTCGTTACATTTGATAAAGAGTAGAACGAGTCAATTAAAGTAATTGCATGAATATGCAATGTGACCTCTTATCAAGGCTTGTTGGTGTAATCTTGTTACCGTCGTATTTTTCAAAGAACATTTGGGATATACTCAATATGTTAATTATCTACAATTCATTACAGATTAGATTAAAAAATGTTCAGTACTTGTTCAGTTTTGTAAGTTTTGAAAAAGCTATAAATGAAATTCCTTTTTAACAAATTGATTGAACCAATGAAAGTGATCGTGTATAACCAATCACGTTATAATTGCAATTATATAACAGATGATCCTGTTAATACTTTGCATAAATAATATAATATCAATGCCATGTGAAATTTTCTTCATTTTTCCATTTTGGTAATTTTTAAAATTTTAGAAAATTGCAATTTTTTAATTTTAAAATCATATTTTAAATATTACTTTTCACTGTATAAAACCTAAAATGATTTGGATTACGATTGACCCGGCTCCACTGTTCAAGGGTTAATTGTGGCATGTCCATTTTTTAAATAAAAGTGAATATTACCATACTACAACTAAATGGTCCATTTTTCAAAATATCATTTTTTACAAGTTCCTGTTAACATGTTTTAATTCAGACAGCAAAGTAGAACGAGTAATCCATAATCAGGCGTACTAAAGTTTCTCTCACCTGTAGCAAGGTAACGTTACCTTATGGTGAATCAGAGAACTTTCAATCTCTGGAACTTTATTCCTCAGAACCGACTGAGCTTAACTTCAATTAAAAATTTATAAAACACCATATGTGCAAAAAGTGTTCCAAGTTGGCAGATGTTATAGTTATTTCAAAGTGTCAAATTTAAATTGTATTAATAAAATTGATTTTACTTTATACAGACGTTTACTTTATCGATTTCGTTCATTGCAATTTTATCGACCATGCTAATTATGCTACGCTAATCTAAATTTTTTTTATTTATTATATTACATATAATTATATTATATTGAAATAAATACTAATCCTTGCTTATCATAAAATGCTATATTTATAACACTTCGAGCAGTTTGCAATTCATCATTTTAATCACATGGTCATGGTACACGTGTGATAATACAATATAATAATTATACATTTATTTTTCAAAAAAAGAGCAATTTTCTGTTGTGTTAGTTGCTTCACTTACAGTTGGATGGCGCTAGGAAAAAGGATTTCAAAACGTACGATGACGAAATTAAAAACAATGTTAACACAATACTTGAAGCTTTCTAAATTAGAAAAGAAATCTATTGTTAAAGGATTTTATTCAAGAAATGTAAGGTACTAATTTTTCTACTTAAATGTGTTTGAGATTTATAATTTCTTTTTTAAGCAAAATTTATATTAATTAATGTGTGAATTTTTATACCGTTATTTATAAAATGCCTCAGATATTTTAGGCAAAAATTTGCAAATGTTTTAGTTTCTAACGAAATTATCGAACCCTTACCAATAACGGATTCATTTAGTTTATGCCGGAAAAACGTTTAGTGAAAAACAATGAAAGTGAACGCATCTGGCTGAGTAGAAGAAATGCCGGACATTAATATCAAATTATGTCGTGTGTGACGGTATTGCGTAAATGAAAAATGAAACCAGTCTAAAGTTCCTTCGACGGACGAGCATTGAACTCTCTCGCGGCTATCATTCGATTGTAACGAAAACGTCGTTCGCTTCAGTTGCCTTGTTTATCATTCCATGAATATAAATTCCAGACCACTGTCCTTTCGTACTTTCACTGCAACTGCACGTTAGACGTCCTCGTGACGTATGCATTTCGATCACGATCGTTCGACGACTTTAAATCGTAAATTCTACGACCTTTCGCATGCTGTGTTTAAAGTATCACAGGCGCTAAGGAATTAGACGCGATTGTGTTCCACAGAAACGCGAGAATACATTGCAGAAATTGTACAAGGTCCTGAATTAGTAATTGTATAAAATATTTAAAAAAAGAAAAGATTTATGAAATATCATTCCGTAACAAATTAATTATTTTTTCTGTTATATAAAATCAAAGAAATAGCATTTCGTTAACCTAACATAAAAATTATTAAATAAACGTGTAAAAAAAGGCTAAAAGGTAAAATTGCATTTCTCACAGCTATCAAAAATTCGAAATTTCAGCAAATGAAGATTTCACAGAGAATTATCGTCCCATTAAAAAACGAAGAGTTAATGTAAAACATAATTACGTTAGGTTCTGTAACGCTAACAAAAAACAAACACCGTAAAATTTCAGATAATATACTCTGGAATGAAGACGTTTGCAGTTCATTAAAAGATTAAGATATTAGTATATTTTCGGTTAAAAACACAAAGTGTGTGATGTAACTCTAGTACTTCGCTTAAAAAAGATATTTCTAAACGTGAAAGCTATTTCTACAGAAATTGATTCTCACGAATCGAGCAGCTGGGTTGCAAGATCGCCAAAGGAGTGTATATCTCACTCTGTTCAGCCTTATAATGCCCTTAATCCTACCACGATAAATGTCAAGAAGTTCTCTTATATGATCGAGAAAGTTCTCGGTTAACCGATCATTTTTGTAATTACAACAGTAACACTTTGTACTAGCTTCATTCTAGACTAGTGCAAATCTGTAAATAAACGTGATAACTAGACTATGAATATTTATCAATTTATGACACACGAAAGTATGGAAAATACGAACAAATTTAGGAAATCAAAGTAACATATTTAGAATATGCAAAATAATGTAAAATATAGAAGATGAAATGGTACTTTTGATCAGTTTATAACGTGCTAATTGCCACGCTGAAATTGTTGAAAGTTTTATTAAGTAGTACCTTTATTTTTAGTAAATTTGTTATCTTTATTATCCATAATTTCAAATATCTAATACAAGTATTTCTAATTAAATAAATCAAGTGAAATTGGTTACCGTAGATGACTCAATCATTAAGACATTTAATATATTAGTCATCAAGTATAATTAATTAAAACCTGGATGTTTTGTTCCTCAAGTATTCTGATAATGACCCAAAGATTTTTAAAATCAAAAAACTCATTCAAAAGAATTAAAATAAATAGCTAATTATGAGATGAATGAAGGTTTATGTTCCAGTTTCAATCAATAAAGTGGAAATATAAAGAAGATATAACTTATTTTTACAGACAACACTACGCACGATGTCCTTGAAAAATATATTAATTCTCGAGAGGATCACCTTGCAGAACCGTGTTTTCACAAGAATCGTACGAAGACTGTATGAACGTATTTGGTCAAGGGCTTCCCACTGAATGCAGCCACAGCAATTATTGCACACCTGTCTCGAAATTTGAGTTGCACCATTAACTGTGCACTTTATTCAAGTATAAAATTCATGAAGTTCAGAAAAGTTGGACGAAGATGAGAATGCATATAATTTATGGAAAGAACTTAATAAATTCTAACCGTAAGGTTTTATATTGACGTACTACTATTAATAAGATGGTGCATAAAAAGACCTATAAATTGTAATTTTAATTTCATGTATTGAAAAAATAATGCTTAAAGGTCTGGGTCGCGATTGACTCAGCTTCGTTATTCCAGAGTTAATATAAGAATGTAAGAGCACAGTTCCTGGCAGAGATGACCATAGCAAAGGGGTTAATTACGGATCTTCTTGTAGAATACGACCCCTAATTTTAATTAATTAGGCCCTAAATTATTCAGAAATTTTCCTGAACTCTTGATGGCCAGTCTACCTCTCCTATCAATCATCTTAGTTGCTTTCCTGGACATTATAGTTTGCTCGCAGTTTTCCAACCGCAAGTTGTGCAACAAGTTGTTGCACCGAAAACCGGAGACACGTCACGCTTCACGATGAATGAAAATTGATGCCGTTAGAAAGGATGTTAGACGATGGTCGAATTTATGATTCTTCCGACAAGCGAAATTATAGCAGATGATTCAACAAATCATTATTTATCGGAACTACGATGGAGAGGTTATAAGGAAATGATTAATGTTTTCTATGTCTCAGTTTCTTATTTCTAACTTTTTTTTTAACATAGTTGCAATAAGTAATTATGCATTCTCTATTTCTTAAGAATTATTTATTAACATTTCTCTTGATAGAAGAACTGTAAATCTGACCATATTTTATCATTCTTTCAAAAGTGTACTTTCTAACATTGCAGTAGAGTTCTCACGTTTTTTATTTCAATTCATCTTTCTATAACTTAAAGAAATACTTATGCACTTATAATTCCTCGAGGCGCATAGAATTGTTCTTTTAAATATAAACTTTCTAATATCTGCTTTTCTTTCCTCTGCAATAAAATAATCAGTGTTTTTTCTAATTTTTCTACCACAGTTTTATTAAATAATTATGCATTTATGATTTCTAATTTTCTTGTTCTAATCTCCTTTTACGAATTATAAGAAATTGTATGAGTTATAAACGGTTCGAACGATGGTGTACCTATTAAAATTCTTGGAAGAATCGCAAGGCAGGTGATTTTCTGGCACCGTTTTCAAAGTCGGATTGCGGTGCGATGAACTCTGGTACTTAGATCGCGACGAGGTTGAGGCGGTGGTCGGGCCCATGGGCGGGCCCCGCCGCTCCCGATGGGAGCCTATATAAGTTGACTCGCGGCCGTGGAAACGTGACTCTATAATACAGAATCGCGTTTGCTTCACCAACGACGAGACATGCATCTTCCTGTGAGTACTCTTCGCTTTTCCTGCTTTCACTGACAAGTGACGATACTCATCAATTAATAGTACGCTTGAGATGGTTTCGCTTTTCATGGCTGGCTAAATTTTTTTTTATAGATTAATAGCGGCTCAATTAACAAATTCCATTTTTAAATTCATTGAGTTGTAAAAGGTGAATTAAAAAAAAATTAACATTTTGATGGAATCTATGACCTCTATAATTTTATTGCCCCTTTGATAATCAGATGCCTAACAAAGAAAATTAAGAAAGCTTACAATCAATGTACATTCTAAAATGACTAATTTTCAAATTGCAATTGATAATTCCAATAAAAATGAACTAATAAATGAAAAAGTAGAGAGCTACGAAAGGTACTTGACAATGACCATCAACTTGAAATTATCATACTTGAAATTAAATAATACATTTAATTAAAAACAATTTCATTTAATTACACTTTAATTGGAACTCCTTTTTATAATGAATGTAAACTTTTTCCTGGTAGAAAAATGACTCACTTAACAGGTTTAAGAAAAAGTGCATTTCAAACAGCGATCTCGATTGTTATTCATTATGCACGAGGTTATTGGAAAGTGATTCGTGTGTGCCAACAATTTTATGCAAGCTTGTGTCACCAGGTGCTGTGTCTCTTGTTTTGCGTTGGCCTTGCATTCGCCCAGCACAATCAATACGTGACCACGCCGGTGCCCATTTTGAAGCAAATAAACAAGTAAGTACCGTTTCGTTATCCTGACACCGATTTCAACAATCAATCGTTTCGTTCCATGCCTTTATTCAATGCAATTAACCTTTTCGCTCTCTGAAGTATCTACGAAGCCTAATTGACTCATCCCTTTGATTAGACACAACGAAGATGGCAGCTATAGTTATGGATACGAGGCAGCTGATGGTTCTTACAAAATAGAATCGAAATATCCAAGTGGCGAAGTGTATGGAAAATATGGATTCGTTGATGATACTGGAAGTATTCGAGAGGTCGAATATGGAGCATCCCGACGTGGTTTCGAGCCAGCTGGTCCCGGAATAAACGTACCTCCACCGACCCTGACCGGTAATAGCATTGCTAATCCCAATGCGCCTGACGACGATGGTCAATACAGGGAAGATCCTTCTGTTTACTATACCGATCCTCGGTATACTAATGGAGAACGTTACGAACCGATTCCTCGTCAACCCTTGGCCTACAATCCACCGAAACCAATTCCAGCACCGATTTATAATCCACCCAGGTTGGTAATCAATTGATTTTATTAATTAAATTTATTTATTCCTTTAGTTACTTGTATAGCCTTTATTTAATGTGATTTTTCAATTACGAATGTTCATTTTCGTCAACAAAAAGTTAGAGTTTTTACATTTATGAATTGATCTTAAAGTTATGGTCGTTTAAAGTGAATAGCCACTAATTTGTCGAGTCGTATACTTTTTTCTTCACCTTATGTTTTTGCAACTTTTCCGTTAGAGGTCTAACAAACAACTAAGCATTTATGATTCCTAAAGGTTTGGGAAGTTATTTTCTACAAAAATAAACTTAACCATTTAACAACTGGTGACCCACTCCATAAATGTAATATTGACTAATAACTGAAAGAAATTAAAGTATATATTATATTGATTTTAGAAGGTATCAAGTAGAAAATTTAAATTGAAAAATAAAATTTTTTTTAAATATTTTTTTCCCACTATTTGATTATATTAAATTTCTGATACCGATCACCAATAGCCCCGACGGTATTCAATATGTTAATTTGTTATATATAAATGCTAATGACAATGAAATTTGACAATAAAATGTGCTTTTCGATTTTCTAGACCACCCCCACAGGTGCAATATCAACCAAAGCCACAATACCAGCCACAATACCAACCACAATACCGATCACAATATCAACCGCAATATCAGGGCCAACAACAGTCTTCCTATCCTAGCTCACCGATTCAAAGCGGAGTGCAAGGTCGTCCAGCACCCAACGTGGATCCCAATGCTGGCTTAGCTTCTTACACGGTTAATTACAGGCGATAGGGATCACTTTGATCCCGCCACAATGTGTAAATATTGCGTTATTTATAATGATTTCCGGGACGCGTTGCATAGATCGTAGTTAGAGCCAGTTGTCACCTTTTAATTAGACCCTGACAATGAGTCTTTTTGCAAAAGTGTATTTAAAGTGTTACTGTTTTTCTTTTTTCTTAGGAAAAGTTAATATTTGAAGGGCGTTTTTTATATTATAAAATATTTTAAATACTTCACGTTTTATTTTCAAATTTATAAACTATTCTTCCCTTACAAATTGTTTCACATTTGTATCACGTCCTTTAAATATTAACCAATTAGAAATATTTTTTGTTGATCAATTTTATGCACTAAGAACATTTCATTCCATTATTGTTTCAGCTTCATATAGATAATGGTACTATAATTAAGAAACTTCTATGATAAGATCTTAGCAGTCTATGTTCTCGGTAATTCTAATAGTTTTTCTATTTAGAACACATTGTGACATCATATACGATTCCTCTGCAAAATTCTACCTCCTTTTCATCCCTCTACCTCTTCTCTTACCAGTTCTCTTTATTTACTCTTCTACCTCTTGAGACTTCATAATTTAGTAATCTAATTACATGTACACTTTTCACAGTTTACATTAGCATTACACGTTTCGAATACTCTTATGTTCCGTGTAATTATCTTGTGATAAAATCGTATTTTGCACTCTATCGTGGCTGCATCCCCTGTTTAAACATATGCACTACATCTTCAAGGTAAAATATAATAATGTGTAAACATGTAACATTAAAAAGCAACGTCCATTTTTGTGTTACAAGTATTTATTAATTTGGAAGAATTTATCTAACGTTATTATCAAAATTAATCCTTCAGCATCATTTTCTTCATCCTTTATTAGAACCTGGCGACCATAGCTATCAATGTTCCAAAATTTCTCAAAAATAAAATAATTGCGACCATCATCGAACGTAAAAAATAAACGATCGTTAAAATCTATATAATACACAGAAATTTATAATTGATACACTTCAAAGGTGCATTACACCTTCCAGATAAAAATCCAAAACAGAATATCGATCGACGACCACCTTTTGCCTGGTATGCGCACACAAAATGGAATCCTGTTCTTATTAATCATAACTGCGAATGAAATGTGAACTTGACACGTCGCTAAAAAAATCGCGATATTGGAATAGCTTTGAACGGCCTTCGAATAATATCGAGAGACGGCTGTAAACGACCCGTTCATCGTCCTACGTAGGCGATCCACCTTCGAGGATCGCTGTTATCCTCGCGAGATTCCTGCTCGATGAACAACATATTGCAGGACATTTACATTCCATTTCAGTCACTTCCTTTTCATAACGATTTACGAGAACAATGAATGCATTGCGTAGGCTAACCGACTATCTTCAAACATTTTTTCGATTGTGATGAATGGTATGATGATAGGGTTGTAATCCAATGGACATTTATGAATCGAGGTTCTCTAAGCAATTTAAATGCCTGAATAAAAAGGGGATGCAGTTGCGTTTGTTATTCATGTAACTTCAATTTATCTATTGTATTCATTGTTTTGTGGTAATTTAGCGTATTGGATAATAAAGTATTTATGCAGAAATGTGAGAGTAGTTTTAATAGAACCTTTTTATTAAGAATATTATTTCGTATAAAGCTGTATTTTTCAGTGAAATAATAAAAATTTTGTGCAACTATTCAAATTTAATTTTTGTAAATTATAATTATTCACATCTTACATTTATTGACCCCGGTTAGTAAATCCATCAGAATACATTTTTTAAAATCATTTTTAGCTATAAAAACGTATCCTTCTTTCCAAATATTATTACCTAATATGTAAACAATAATCGTTAAATTACTATTAAAAAATCATTTTATAGTCTTTGTCATATTATCTGAATGTTAAAATTTATTGACAAAAAACTCTCTTACTTTGAGATAAGCAAATTGGGATCATTTTTAATTTTATTTGTTGAGGTAAATAAAAAATGAAGCAAAAAAGGAAACTTGCTTCAATAACGACCGTTCCCGAAACGATCGACCTTGCCTGTTCATGCCAAAGACTCAGACAACAGATACACTTAACTGTACTGTTGCACATGCCAAGGAAGTCTTTTGTACTGGCAAGGAAGGCTGTCGCCACACCCAGGAATTTCATCCACCCTCTTCGAACATCGGACACAATGTGTAATTATTTGGAGCACCTGTAGGTAAACCTCTTTCACAACACTTTCCAGAGATTCTTTATTCTTATACGTCGTTGTTTAACCCTTTGACTGCTGAATACTCTAAGCATTTTCATTTATTGTTTTCATTGTTTCATCACATCATTATAATCTGATAAGATATAGTGTATAATTAGTGTGTAATTAGTGTGTAATTAAGATATACAAAATCGCATATATGCGTCCATAGCAGTCAAAGGAATAATCCTTTGAAGACGAAGCATTTTTAAGCTTGCACAGAGTATTATTAATTAAAAATAAAATAAATGATAATTCCATCCTTCAAAGCATGTATTATAAATCTCTATTGTCTACATTTATCATTGTGTTTTGTATCAAGATTATAATTTTGTGGGATTTATTACTCTTGCAATTTTATTTTCTTATATCCCTCTGTTAAGACAATTCTAAATTATTTTCTCTGACAACTCATCGATTATTCTGTGAGAACAATTTCTCTAACGTTGTTGACCCTCGCAAACCTCGTTCTTCTCTTTGCTGTTGCTTCGACTCGCAAGCTTGTGGTTAGAACATGCTTTTGTAATCAACGTTGATCTATAATCGCTGGCTGCGGTTGTTATGCCTGAGTTATGAAATTGTAAACAGCACTGTTCAAATGTGAAATTCGTCTAACTTTCTTTTTCATTCCTCAATCGTCGACTACTTACGAGGTTTCTCCCGAAGATCTAAATATTGGCACCTTCTAACGTCGTTCAATGATGAAAAATCTTAGAAACTTTGAACGAATGAACTTCTATGTTTCATTTATTTAAAATCAATATTCCTTATCTTTGTTTTGTTACATTTAAGAAATTTTAACATACGCATTTATTTTTATTAAATTCCTTCATTTAAAAGTTTTGTTAATTTATTAATAATTATTCCTTGACTTTCGCCACATTTTTTAACGGTGTGCATTTAAATGCTTATTCGAAAGCAGTAGAACGAATTAGTATCGATTCTAATTTATCATTTCTATCATTAGTAGATCTCATTTTAAATGAACAAGGAAAAGCAACGTATTAGAAGTGTCCGACTGTTTTCCGTATCTCAATATTAATATCATAAACCTTAATGTTATGTAAAATGTCGGGTCGTATTGATGATTGGACGTTATGGACACGTCCATTTCGAGAACATTTTTTGTGGGGTACGTTGTTCCGTTTTTAGGACTGTAAGTTGTGAGCTGAATGTTGCGTACAAGGTTACGTGAAAGGTTCGATTGGGTACATTACTAATCATAAGTTTCAGATCGTGTATTAGTCTAGTTTAGCATTACCAGGAACTATATTATGAAAATCTAATAATTCATATATAACAGCTTTTATGAACCTCTAAGTTTTATTCCTTGAAAAAGAATGAAAGGAACGTAATGACTGGATTACGATAGCTAATGCAAATATACATTTTCATGAATTATAATTATTTGTATATTACATGAAAAACGATTTAAAACTTTTGATTTATAGTGTATATATGAAGACTAAATCCTTTTCAGTATCCTGATTGTACCTCGTAAATTGTACTTTCATAAAATCATCTGAATAGTGAGTTTCCGTGTACGTGATTTATTGCTGTTTAATTATTCCTATCAATCTTTATTTTTATTCAGATTGATCATAGTACAATGGATGGTAATTGAAACTATGGGGACTTAATAATAATTAGTACATACTAATTTTGTATCAATTTCACAGACAAAATATGAAATATCAGGTTCAAAAATAAGAATTTAATATGAAACTTTTTATAAATCTTAACTAAAGATAAAAGTGTCAATAATTAATATAGTACCGATATTCCTGAGTTCAATATAAAATAACAAAAATATAAAAAATTCTATATCTCAATGAAGTTATTATTTACAATAAAAATTGCAAATGTCTTAATACCCATGAACAGCAGTGTATAATAAAACGTGAGATCAGTTCCATTGGTAGATCCTCCTAGACGCCTGGCGTCAGCAGACAACAGCGGCTTATTGTTGGCATAAACGTGTGGGTATAACAGGAACCATTGAAAACTATTGCCATCCGGCTGTAACCTATTATCCTGATCCTGAAGTGTCCCATAGAGAATTGCACGTTACGCATACCTGATACGTGGAGACTGCCACAGACCACCGCCCATGCCCACCTTTCACAATATACGTGCCCTCGCTTCAGGCTTCTCGATCAGCCCGATCTACTTTACGATCAACCCATGGAAACGTATCCCAATGCCCTTTACCGAACTTGCACCATTGTCGATGACGTTCTATTCTTTATCTTGAATTTGAATATCAACCCACATTGGCGTAACCAGAATTTTTAACCAGGATGAGCTACCACTTCTAATTTTAATAAAGCTTCGAGTTTAACAAATTTGATGAAATTCTAATAAATTTGCTTCCGGCAAATTTAGCAAAGTGTCAAGTTAAAATTCTACGCTAGAGGAATTGAAAAATTATCAATTACTAATAAATAGAATTTACTTCAATTGAAAATTATTATTTCTTAAATTTCAAGCTGATGAATGTTTCTTTACTCATTCTAATCATTTCTAATGGGTCAATTTACATTTCGGGAAGATCAGGTCCATCCTCACCTAATTACGCCAATGATCATCTACAATGTTACAATCTAGATTTAAATATCATTTGATTCATCCAAGAATCTACTCGAACATAATTGAAACTTCGTGATCGTGAAATCGTTAGACTTATTATAAAAACCATAGAAAAGGATAAAGTATGTTTAAAACGTGGTTTCGTATGGAATCGGACTGCTTTCTTTTTTCGATCTGGCACCGGGTGCGTGCGTTATATAATCTGAAATGGAAAGCGCGTTAATCTGGTTTCGTGTAACAGTTTCTTTAATTGGCCTGCGTTATCGTGGATTCCTGTGATACGATTTTGTTTATCTCATTGTCTTATAAGGAATTGTCTTCGATTAAGGAAACTTCAGCCCGCCATGTTCCTTTCCATAAATTCATTGAAAAATGTGCAAAGACTTTTGAAATAAATTGATACAACAACCCTTCACTTTTTCTGAATAGAATTCTTTTAATTTTAAGGAATTCATATTAAATAGTATTTAACGTACTATACAGTGAATTAAATTTCTTAGTAACACTATATATTCCTTCTTCACAGTTCTAACAGAACTTACATAAGACAACGAGACAAGAATTCAAGCAACGAAAAAGGAGTTACTCTTTGCACAACTAAATCACCTGTTTTAAACTAATTGTACCTATAAATAGATTCTATCAGAAGCTTCGAATAAGGCGCTGATATCGTCGAATAGATAAGAAAAAAATATTTATATGTATGAAAGATAAATATAGCATCTAGCGTGACAGTAAGAGTGCGTGTTTCGTCGATATACTTGTTTGCAACTTCATGATTCCGCGTTCACTCTCGAGACATTCTGATGCAAGGCGTGGTGCGACCGTCTGTCGAGCCAGATATCGGTAGAACTGGCTTTCCTTTGCACACGCGAGACTTTTGTCCTTTTATCAGAGATACACGAAAGAAAACTTTCGTTTCGAAGCCATTGAAACTTCGTTGAGATAACGTAGACAGCGGTTTGCAATGAAATTTTGTAGAAATCAAATTACAGAAAATTATTCTGACGTTTTGCAATTTTTTATTTTATTAAAAATTGTAATAGCAGTAGATGTGATATTCCGATCACGTCTGATACTTTGCGTCATCGATTTAAATAAAACACAATCAACATTTCCCAGCGAAAGAAAAATCATTTCCTTTCACGAGGCTCGGAGTATTAGCCAATCGATCGAAGCAATCAAAACTTAACTGATTCAAGCAATTGATACTCATCAAATTTTCGCACATCCGCGTCTCGTTTAATTACGCAAATATTTTCATACAAAAGTATCGCGAATCAAGATGTCCGTGAACACATAGGACGTGAGAGAGTGTAATATGAAAACAAGTGCACCATCGGTATCGTGACAAAAGGATTATTCCCGTGATTCGAAATTCACATACTAACGGCCTTCCATAAATAACGAGAAGCAATTGTTCGGTCGCGAAGATAGGGCAGTACGTTCATGGACGTTTCTCATGTCAAAGAAATAAAATCTATCCGGTTCGTGAGTCAATTCACATGAAAATACTGGTACCATAATTTCGTTTCATAACGGTGGAAAAGCTTCGAAAAATCCTTGAGATGTTCCATCGCGTCCTTCATTATGGATAATTAATTTGTTTGCGTTTAATTTACAGACAGGATTCATATTGGTTTAATATTCAGAGGTATAATTGAAAATTTTGAAATTTAAAATGAAAGTACTCAACATAACAATTTTAATTACTGTTGTAATTAATGATCCAGATAATAAAAATTTACAAAATTATAAATGTCTCTCT